CTTCTTCTTCTTCTTCTTCTTCTTCTTCTTCTTCTTCTTCTTCTTCTCCTTCTCCTTCTCCTTCTCCTTCTCTTTCTCCTCCTCCTTCTCCTCCTCCTCCTCCTCCTCCTCCTCTAAACTGTAGGATTTATACTAACTCTTTTACAGCCTTGCAAAGGGAAAACCATGATTCATGTGCTAAGATGATTCGCCCTCTCCATGCCAAATCATGATTTATCTTCCCCATTTAATTTAGATGAAAATAATATTTAAAAACTTATTGCATCAAGGTAGGCCTAGTTGTGTGAATGTGTGCATATGCCTTTGAGTTAGTGTTAATTCTTGAAAACTGCCTGGATCGGATCCTGCAGTTTTCTTGGCAAAATATTCAGAAGTGAAAATTTTGTATTTCCTTTTTCCTAGGGCTGAGACTGAGTGACTAACCTGAAGCCACCCAACTGGCTTTGTGTTTAACATGGGACTAGAACTCACAGTCTCCCAGTTCTAGTGCCTTAACCATTTATTATTTTTATTTATTTATTTAAACTTATTGATTGCTCAACTCCAGTGGACTCTGGGTAGTATAGAAAACTACACTACACCAGACTGGCTAATATATAGACCAGGTTAAATGACTCTTGTAACGAACTCACTAGATTGGATGAGATAAGCCATCTCAAACTACCCTGTAAAGCAGGGCTACAAACTGAGCTCTTCTAAGGAGTGCTTTGATTTCTCTTTGGGTATTGGGGGGATTACTATATGTTCATCTCCATAGCAGTTCAGTTAAAAATTATGTCAAGGTATTTTGTCTTTAGAATTAGAAAAATGATCTTCCATGGAAAGGAGGATATAAAAAGAGAAGATTTCTATCTTGGATAGTTTTTCCTTGGTGTTTTGTCTCATGGACATGTACAGATGTAGCTCCTTCCATGATATATATGTACAGCTAATATGAGATGCTCAATCTTTGTAGGTTGACTACAACACTAACATGTAATCCAGTGAGCAGAAAACAGGCTTACATCTTCAAGATGACGTTTTAAACTATGTTGCTAATGAGGTATGACTCATCACCATTACAAATCCAGAGAAGTGAACCATTACAAGTGTGAATGCTTAAAAACTGGAAGTTGGACATGCCTTTTCCTGGAGACTCAACTTTGGAGGAACTGAGAACTGATTGTGTCCGAGAAACTTTGTTCTGGATTTTTGAGCACTGATTCTTCTAGTTCTCCTGAGAAAATATTTCATGCATCAAAAAAGCATCCCTCTCAGGTACTGGAATTTGTTGCTATCCCTGCTCGTGGGATAAGGATTTTCTATTCTATCTGCCACTGGATTTGGTGAGAAAATTGAGCATTTACAGCATGTTTTTGCCTTTGTGATGGTCCTAATCAACAAGGAAAGGCAGAACGTGTCTCTTACATGTTTGTTTGTTTGTTTGTTCCTTCCTTCTTGGACTGGTGTTTTAATATCAGGTCTTAGAAAGTAAGTTTTTCATACTTTGAATTTCTTTGGTCATGCCTGGATGCCTTAATATAGAGAAAGGAGTTTTAGCCCACATGCTTTGCATGAAGTATTCCTAATATTTCCTGATAGAAGGATCAGATAGCAAACAATAAGAAAATTAAAGACCTGTGATTAATTTAAGATCCTGGACAATCAGCATAAATCAAGGTTAGCAATACTGGTAAACAAGGTAAACAAGACCTCTTGTTGTCTGTGGAGATTCTCAGTCATCCAGGTCATGGTTGTCCCAGAGGTGCTTTTTCGAGAGGCAACTGGACTTTCTGGTTTTTCTTTGAAGACGTTTTGCTTCTCATCCAAGAAGCTTCTTCAGAACTGGTTCAGTTGCCCTCTTGAAAAAGCACCTTTGGGAAGACCTGTGCTTCTTCTTTCACTAAAATTGCTTGATTTTAGTAGACTTGATTACAATTTACTGAGACAATGCATAGGACACAGGAAGTGGTACTTTTATTGCAAAATTGTAAGAAACAAAGTATGTATGAATTATGAAGTCATTGTTTCTGGTGGGGGAAGCAGGAGTTGAACTCAAAAGATAAAGAGAGGTCTGGTTTGAGAAAGGTTTTGGGGGTGGGAATCCTATTAACATGAATTAAATGTGTGTACAGGTCAGTTCTGTGAATATTAAAATGCAGCAACTGTTTCCAGAAGCAGATGTCGTGAGATGGACCATGCCACCATTCTCTAACACTGCAAGGTGTTAGAGAATTCTGAGTTACATAACCTGCCCTGAAACATTAAGCCAGTCTGTTCAATATTCAGGCCAACAAACAGGCCAGAATCCACAATGTTCAGATATATCGTCAGTGTCCTAACTGTTTTATCAGCATATATGTCTTTATTTGACTCTTACATTTTATTCAATACTGTTTCTTATGCTTTGAATAGATATCCCCCTTTTCCTTGTTTGTTTGTTTGGAATTTAACATTAACAAAACTTATGTTTTGTGGTCTGTCTACACACAAAATAAATATATTTTTACTGGAAATGTTGTATTTTGATAATTTTGTCAAGGTTGCTCCTCAGTTTCTGCCTCCTATAGTCTCCTTTGACATTGATTAGTATCTGTTATGACAAGAGATATAAATAAACTATTTGTTAAGTTTTAAAGTTGAAGTGGAGATGAGCAAAGCAAGCAGGAGAAGTGTGAGGCCCTTGCCTAACGGTGGCATGGTCCTGGCCTAACTACCTCAGCTGAGACTACCAGAACTGCCATCACTAAGTGATGTGGTCATGTGATGTTTAACCTAATGACCCCTTCACTTAGCAACAGAAATCCTTGGGCCAGTTATGCTAATTAAGCACAGACTACCTGCACGGAATGCCTATTAAGTGAAGTTGAATTGATATTTCTGATTTTAAAATTGGAGGAAGGGACATCAATAAACTGTATTATGCTGATTACACTGCCCTGATAGCCAAAAAAGCAAAAAACGTGCAAGCTCCAGAACTAAAACTAAAGATAAAAAGGGCGAACTAGGACAACAGATAGGGAAAAAAAGGACAGCAGATAGAATAACCACCCTTAAAATTGGCAATGAATGTAGTACAGTAGTGTAGCTTCTGCCTTCTAGGATCAACCATCAACAGTAAAGGAACAAGCTGTCAAGAAATATTCTGCAGACTAATATTTGGTACTGTACAGCAGCCATAAAGGCCTGAGAAAAGGAATTTCAAATATGATGTCTCCATATCTACAATGATAAGAATAGTACTCCTCGTGATAGTCCCTGAGATATTCTGTGGAAGCAAAAGTTCCACAGAGTTGAAGTAGCAAGATAGGAAAAGCAATGATAGGAAAAAAGCCATAGTGGCACAATGGTTAGATTGCAGTACTGCAGGCTACTTCTGCTGACTGCCGGCTGCCTGCAATTTGGCAGTTCGAATCTCACCAGGCTCAAGGTTGTCTCAGCCTTCGAGCCTTCCGAGGTGGGTAAAATGAGGACCCAGATTGTTGGGGGCAATAGGCTGACTCTGTAAAACTGCTTAGAGAGGGTTGCAAAGCAGTATAAAGCGGTATATATAAGTCTAAGTGCTATTGCTATTGATCCCTTTGAATGTTGGTGTTGTAGACTTCTGAGAATACCATAGACAGCCCCCCCCCCTTCAAAAAAATCCATCCAAGCAAATGGCTCATCAGTCAAATCAATCCAGAGTTCTCACTCAAAGCATAAATGATCAGGCTCAAATTATCCTATTTTTGGATGCATTATGTGATGATCCAGATATCTGGAAAAGGCTCTGATGCTGAGAAAGGTGGAAGGGAATGGAAGAAGAAGATACCAGCAGTCAGGTGGATGGACTCAGTTACACTGGCCACAGGTGCAATGTTAGAAGACCTGAAAAGACAGGTCCTTGGGGAGAAAATCTATGTGGTTGCTAGGATCAAAAACTGGTTGATGGCACTTAATCAGTCCAAACACAATTGTTTGGGGCTTAAGAATATTCAGTCTTACAAGAGTCTTGTCATTACATAAAAGCCACAACTCACCTAAAGTATGAATAGGTTAGGAAATGGCAAAAGAAAGAAATCCACCACCCTCTAGTGTATAACTGTAGAAAGGACAGATACTTTCAAAAAATTATTCCAGGAATAGATGCGAATATCATTCAGAATAACAAAATAATAGAGTTGAAAGAGACCTTGGAGGTCTTCTAGTCCAACCCTCTGCTTAAGCAGGAGGCCCTACACCATTTCAGTCAAATGGCTGTCCAATCTCTTTAAAATCATCAGTGTTGGAGCACCCACAACTTTTAGAGGCAAGTCATTCCACTGATTGTCCTGTCATGAAATTTCTTCTTAGTTCTAGGTTGCTTCTCTCCTTGATGAGTTTCCACCCATTGCTTCTTCTCCTACCCTCCTACCCTGCTTTGGAGAATAGCTTGACTCCCTCTTCTTTGTGGCAGCCCTTCAAATATTGGAATGTTGTTATCATGTCACCCCAGCCCATCTTTTCACTTAACTAGACATACACAAATTACAGCAACCATTCTTCATAACTTTAGCCTCCAGTCTCTTAATCATCATTGTGGCTCTTCTCTGCATTCTTTCCAGAGTCTCAATATCTTTTTTATATTGTAGTGACCAAAACTGGATGCAGTATTCTACATGTGGGCTTATCAAAGCATTATAAAGTAGCACTAACATTTCACATAGTTCTATTACAGCAAAAACAAGCAGCCACAGTTGTCAACAAAGACTAACAGAGACACGCATACACACACACACACACACACACACACACACACACACACACATATACTTACGCATCTGTGGCTGGATGTGGGGAAATATAAAAACAAAGTTGGGCTTTCTTTCTTTTTTATTGAGGGTTGCTCTCTCCTTTCTTGATAAGCTTTCAAATGAGAAGACTAAAAAGAGCTACAATAGAAATCTACACTTTTCTTTTTTTAATAAAAAATTATTTGGGTTTTCACAAAACATAATACAAGTAAAAAAAATTTTGAGAATAGCATGGTACCGGGTTATCACTTCTCCATACAGACACAAATTCAATTTCATATTCATCTTTGTGTTCTATTCCATATCTTATTACTATTTTAACATTTTCTCAATAATTTTTCCCTTCCCTTAGTTTTCTCAATCTTACTTTTAATCTCACTCCTTTCTAAATTCAATTATATATATCTTTTTCTAAGTTTCAATATCTTTCTAGTCATTATATTTATATTTTTGTCTGTCCTGTTTCAATTTCATATTTTCTTTTCTCATTAAACAAATTTTTTCCCTGTAGTTACTAATTAGAATATGACACCTTTGTATCTTTTAATTTTTATCCATTCAACTCTTATTTAAACTTCAATTTATGCCATTACAACTATAACATTCAATATAACACATAACTTCCAGTCAAATTCTGCTTGGTACATTCTTAAAATATGTACTAAGTTCTTAAAGAGAAAATATATATATAACAATAATAAATAAAATACTTATTCTATTCCAATTCAGCTCTATCATTAATGTTAGTTATAATCTTTGAAATCTTTAACATTTCTTTTCAATAGGGTATCATACTTCTAGGAACACTTATAATATTTCCATAATTTTTTCATGTTTCTTTCATATTCCTCTTCACTTAAATTTTTATAACACATTTATAATAATTAAAATGTTCCCCTCCTTTTCTAATTTCATTCTCTCATTCTATTTCATTTATTTATTAAACATTCCATTACATTACAATGAGTATTTTATCTATCATTTTAATCACACTTGTTTCATATTTTCAAAGTTCATTTCTATTTCTAATATAACAATACCATCTTATGTACCCTTGCAGAATCCCCCTTTCAATTAAGTTTTCACCCATTATCTCTGTGTCTTCTAAATAGGCTTATACCCTTAATCCTTGTATGTTTTCTCTGTTTCTCTATGTCCTGTTTCTGTCCTTTATAATTTCTTTTCCTTTCCCTCTTCCCACTCTTCTTCTCCCTTCCCTTTTTGACCCCTTCTCTCTCTAATTCTGATTCTCTCTTCTGTAATCCTCTCTTCTGTTTCTTCCTAATGTTGTAATTACTTTTCAAACTATTCCTTTTGGGGGTTGTTTTTTCAGATCTTACATTTTTCACTCTCTTTCCCCCTTTCCTTTCTTTTCCCCACATAGAAATACTTGGTCATTGAAAATGGCTTCTTCTTTGTCCCACTCTTCTTGTTCTACAGGCATTTCTTGTTGTTTCTCATAGTTCAGGATCTCAATTTCTAAAAATTGAAATACGAAGCCAAAAGAACCTCTTCTTTCTTGTGCATCTTCTTTCTGTTTCTTTAAGTTCCATTCTCAATTCTTCCAAGAATGATACCATTTTAAAAACATTTAAACAACCACCCGATTAATTTTAATCCTTTAGATCTGATAGCCAAATATTCAAAAATCACCAAGTAATCCAAATCATCCAAAGCTGTTTTTTCTTGCTTCTTTTTTCCACTTTCTCTTCCTGGGGTTCTCTTATCTTGTTACAAAGTTTCAGTTAAAATGTATCTTTTAGGAATCTTGTTAAAGTTTCACTGCTAATCCCTTTCACTTCCAGGTGGTCTCCTCCATTTTTCCAGATCCCACCCTTTTGTTTTTTTCCTTCTTTTAAAGGTTTTTGATAATCAGAAATCTTTATTAACCCTTTGACATTTTATTTTCAGCTTAAATACCTGTGTAATGTCAAAGTGGATTTTTGCCAGTTTCTTGCTTAAATCTCTTAGTTGTCAATATAGGGAAGAAAAAAACCCAAATCCTTTCCCTTCCCTCTCTCATTTGCCGCTTCAAAATCTTCTTTGGGAACAATGTTGTTCTTTATAATTCAAATTCCAGGGTACCTTATATTGTTGCTTTTTCAGTTCGACCTGGTCAGCCAAAACTTTCTCTTCTTATCTTCTATCTGCACATTCTTTTCCAGTCGAATTCTTTGAGGTGGTCATTTCTGACCACCGGTGCAACCGCCTTCGGGAAAGGGAGTAATTGCCAGCTGGGGAGGAGAGATGCAACTCTCCTCGACCCGGCTGGCAATCTCCCCCCTCTTCACCACTCTACGGGGTGGCTTAGCCCTGAAACCAGCCAGCTCAGGGCACTCCAGCGGTGAGCACAGATCGAAACTGTGCACAATCGCAGATTTCAGTCTGTCACCGAAGAAACTCAAACCGGAAGCCCAGAAATCTACACTTTTCTGAAAGGCTGTGGCTTGCAAGAAGAAATGCCTCATCTTCCTACTCATGTCTTCTATCATTCTGTGAGCAGGAGCCCTGCAGAAACATAGTTACTCATCTGATGTGATGATGAGTACATGTGCAACTCAGTAACTGATGGTTCTGAAGGTGCAGGCTTCTCCAAATGTTTTTGAAAATTGTCATTTCAGATGCCAGAATTAGCCCATTTTTTGTGTGTGTATGTGTAGAACTGATTGGTTACATTATTGCTGAGGGATCCTTGGTGCTTTCTTAACTTGCT